GGTGTGTGTGCTGTCTGTGTGTTAGTGTGAGGTGTGTGTGCTGTCTGTGTGTTAGTGTGAGGTGTGTGTGCTGTCTGTGTGTTAGTGTGAGGTGTGTCTGCTGTCACGACAGACATGGAGTCAAAAGCATGTCGTGCAAGAGCAGGCGAGGAGGGTGCAAGGCTTAAAATAAATGTAAATATGAATGACCATCACCAGTATCAGCAATGGTATATTATTATTATTATTATTAGTTGTGCTGTCATTGTTGATTTTGTTGTTATATCAATAACAATAATATTTTATATTCAGATGGTAATATTAATAATAATCAAAATTTTGATTCATGTTTGTAGCTAAAAATGTATAAAACAGTGCACACAAAATTTATAGATCTAATGCACTGACCTTCAAGTCCTGCCACAAATTGGAACGAATTAGCTGTGATTCCAAAAATGTCCACTTGAGGGAGTAAGGTGACAATGCTATAAAAACAGAGCGTATGCAACCAGATGTTTCAGTGAGTTTTCTCGTAGTTGAAAACGGGCAGATGGATGACCTGGACATCAGTCGTAGATTTACTGTTATTTCATACATTAAAATGAAAGTGTTTGCTGTAGTCGCAGGTTCTGAAGTGAACGTGCTGCTTTGGGCCTGCAGGGAGCCTCGGAAGGTGGTGCTGCTGCGAGGCTCCACTGGGCTGGGATTCAACATCGTAGGTGGCGAGGATGGAGAGGGCATCTTCATCTCCTTCATCCTGGCTGGGGGTCCGGCGGACCTGAGCGGGGAGCTGAGGAAAGGAGATCGCATCGTCTCTGTAAGAGTCACCGTGGCCTGGACTGCCCATTCAGAATAAGGCTGTTGTTGGCCAAAAGTGCATATTAATGCTTATCTGTGTGTTCTGATAGGAGCCCTGGTTGTACCTGGCTTCCTCTGTTCTCCAGATAATAATTAAATGGAGATGTACCTAGTTTGTCTACTTTACTCTTCGTTCAGAATCAAGTCCTGAGTATGTATCATAGTACACAGAATCAGACTAAGAATTCTAAGAAAACTAAGAATATGTGTTCACTGCAAATGTCTAGGGTTGCTGACTCTCATGCATGTGGCATGACACACATGTGCGCAAGACATCTTACAGCAAATCTGTATTATTCCATTATAAGCCTGACATTAGCTACATCCAAAGTTTTGGAGTAATTTGCAAACCCTACAGACGATTTACAAGGAAATAAAACTATTACTTGCATGTAAATGCATGTGCATGTTGTATGCAGACAGCTGACCGAAGTTGGCAACTCTGGAAATCACACACAGGATTGCCACAAGTGTCAGATGCAGTGAAATGTTGTCCCTCTATTCCATAACATGCAGGTGAACGGGGTGGACCTGCGGGGGGCCACTCATGAGCAGGCGGCAGCAGCACTGAAGAACGCTGGGCAGACCGTGACCATCGTGACACAGTACCGACCCGAGGGTGAGTGGCGACTGCCCTGATGCTCGGTCAAGCGGTGACCGTCGTGGCGCAGTACTGACCCGAGGGTGAGTGGCGACCGCCCTGATGCTCGGTCAAGCGGTGACCGTCGTGGTGCAGTACTGACCCGAGGGTGAGTGGCGGCTGTCCTGATGCTGGGCAGACCGTGACCATCGTGGCGCAGTACTGACCCGAGGGTGAGCGGCGGCTGTCCTGATGCCGGGTCAGGCGGTGACCGTCGTGGTGGTCAGCTGGACGCCTTGCAGACGCATGAAGACACTGGTGTGAATGGTGATGCATCTCGGCTGCAAATGCAAACAGGGCCTTTGAAGTGTTAAGTGTCTTAATTCAGACATTTAATTGCCTGATGAATTACCTGTTGATTCAAGTTAAAAAATAAAAAACTTTTAATGTCATCCAATAAATATTCGCATAAATTACATAAATTTGGCTTGAAGGACATTCAAATATAAGCTTGAAAACAATATTTTAATTCAATTAAAAAGTATCAGCTATGACTGAAATGCATTTTTCCAACTGTATGTTGCAGTGCGTGGTGTTGTAGCAGTTTTTGTGATATATTTTATGTTATGTTAAGCAATGAGCCCACGGTAGCTAGGGTATCTGAAAATGGCAGCCGACCGCAGGGGCTCTCTGCTGCAAGCTTTGCCTGTGCTGGTTGCTGAGATGTGAATGATTATCTCCAGGAGCCCCATTCGATCCTGCGCCGCCTCCAGCAGCAACTGCAGTAGTATGTGGCCTCAACTCCACGCTGTTTGATTGCATACTCAACTCGCGCTGCATGTGAGGTCTCAGGTCTTCTGTTAACCTTTGTTCATTTTTAAATGATGCGTTCCATTAGTCATTTGACGTGTTCCTGTAGCGCCTTTGTTCTCGGAGTGCCCTGGCCTGGCAGTCAGCGCTCTCGCTTTTTCTCGATGTCTTCAGTGTCACGGGCATGCGCTGTCCGCACACTTACGTAAACGCCATTTGGCCCGCACAGCACTCAGCCGGGCCTGTTCCTGCACCCTGACTCCCACACGCTGGACGGAATCTGCTCAGCGGCATAGATCGCTGGTCCTTCTCTTGCCAGTGCAGCACCCCCGCCCTCCTCTCTCAGTGTCAGTGGGCACAGCCACCTTGTTTATGAGTGAGAGGGACAGGCACAGCTCAGATGGCTCACAGACAATGTGACCCTCTAGCGAGGAGCCGCGGATGTAGCTGCAAATCTAATTAAATGCTCTGGAGCTTGGCCGGAGCTCCCCCCCCCCCACCACCACCGCCCGTACTTCCTCTGCCCGGCCACGCGGCGCCTTCGCTCGGCCCCTTGACGCTGGCACCCGTGCCTGGCACGCCGGCTGCGGCTCCATCACGGCGCACTTCCGGCCAGCGCAGCGGAGCCGGAGCCCCCAGCCGGGGCACAGATTACAGGAGCACATGGCCGGCCGGGCCCCCCACGCGCAGGCCGGAGGTGGGGGCATCTGTGCTCTCTGGCCAGGCTTAAACAAGACGGAGTTGTCCTGAGGCGCCGGGTGCCACACCAGGGCTATTTTTATAGGCAATTATGCAGCAAACAACACGGTGGTGAAGTACCGCACTCTGCAAATAGAGGAGTGAGCCTTATGTTGGTATTCGGGCAAAATTACCCGCAAAATGGGCTTTTGCTAAAATCAACTCTTCCTGTTTCTCTTGTGCTCCTCTTTCATACCCTTACTGACTGGTAAACAAAGCAGCATTTTTGTCTTAGCGCTCAGTTGCGTGTTGCTGTTGCCCTTTCTGTCTTAGCACTGAAGTGCTCAGCAGTGTGTTCCTGTTCCTGTCGCCCTTTCTGTCTTAGTGCTAAAGTGCTCAGCTATGTGTTCCTGTTGCTGTTGCCCTTTCTATCTTAGTGCTAAAGTGCTCAACCGTATGTTCCTGTTCCTGTCGCCCTTTCTGTCTTATTGCTGAAGTGCTCAGCCATGTGTTCCTGTTCCTGTCGCCCTTTCTGTCTTAGCGCTGAAGTGCTCAGCCGTGTGTTCCTGTTCCTGTCGCCCTTTCTGTCTTATTGCTGAAGTGCTCAGCCATGTGTTCCTGTTCCTGTCGCCCTTTCTATCTTATTGCTGAAGTGCTCAGCCATGTGTTCCTGTTCCTGTTGCCCTTTCTGTCTTAGCGCTGAAGTGCTCAACCATGTGTTCCTGTTGCCCTTTCTGTCTTAGTGCTAAAGTGCTCAGCTATGTGTTCCTGTTGCCCTTTCTATCTTAGTGGTAAAGTGCTCAACCGTATGTTCCCGTTCCTGTTGCCCTTTCTGTCTTAGTGCTAAAGTGCTCCGCTATGTATTCCTGTTGCTGTTGCCCTTTCTATCTTAGTGCTAAAGTGCTCAACCGTATATTCCTGTTCCTGTTGCCCTTTCTGTCTTAGTGCTAAAGTGCTCAACCGTGTGTTCCTTTTGCCCTTTCTGTTGCTTGTTTTCCTTTTTAGTTAGCATGTTCCTTTACTAGCAGATGCTTTTCATGTGAAATGCCTAATAGCCTTCAATGTTCCTTTTGGTGTAAACTTTACTGGAGCAATTTTGTTACAACAACAGAGCTTGTGCTGTTATTTAAGGTCACAGTGTTACATCCCAGAAGGTAGCTTTGCCCCTGTATACAAATCAGTGTACATCTCTGACTAAAGTAACTAAAATATTTAAACATTCTCTCCAAATCCTTTTGTTTGTGGGTTGCTGTTTGGGCTATCTGTTTGCAAACAGGTCAAAGTAAAACCAACACAGAAATACTTGTAGTGATGTATTAAAGCAGATTAGCTTTGCGAGAAAGCTGGTGCTCCAGGCGTTCTGAAATTACAGGTACATATACAACTGCAGAATAACAGAGAGCTGGGAGCGTGGAAGTGGACTCCGTGGAACCTGGCCAAGCCGAAGGATGGTCATGCCGACGGCATGTGGGCTGGTGCTCCTGCTACTGGAGGGTTGCTGTGAGCTCTCAGCTGTGTCAGTGCCTGCTTCCTGCATTGACCTCACTTCTGTGAGGGTAACGGCTGAGCGTACGAGGGAGTCTCAGTGACGGCTATCCTGTCACCAGTGGTAATCGCTGGGCCCGTGCAGTCTGTGTCGGCGTTCAGATGGTAACGGATTTCACGCAGGGCTTGCAGATTTCAGGTCTGAAATTGACGTGAGCCACACTGTGCTGAATGGAATAGGGCCTCACACATCGAAATGTTCTCTCGGCGGCCAATCAGCCTGCCCTGTCTCAGAGTGTGTGTGGTGCCTTTACAAATACTGTGCATTGCTTAATGGCATCAAGCATTCCTATATTAAGTCCTGTTCTCATGATAAATTACCAAGTATGCGTACATTATGCATTGTGTAAACTCCTGCACACGCAATGTTTCCTTACATCAGGAATCTGCCGGGAAACAGCCTTGGCATGAACATTGACAAATATGCTCATAATACCTCGTTTGATCGATGCAAATGTATGCACAGCTGTGTGCACCTTTGTATTGATCTGGTTTATAATCTGTGTGTGGCTGCTCGTTCTCATTCCTCTGAGAAGACAGCGTAGCGTCTTCCTCCTTGCAGCTCACTTCTCATTTCCGCCACTGGTTGTCACTGTCCCGACCCTTTAGAAACTCTCTCGATTTGCCTTTTGAAGGAGCTAGCGCTGGTACCCCTCCCGCCATCTTTGGGGATGGGGATGGGAGAGGGCCTGGGTGGGAGGGCCCGGGGTGAAGTAATTTTGTCCCAGGCTCAGGATTTATGTGTGCTGGACCTGCTGGTAGGCTCATTACCTTTCTTTAATTGAAAATGGTGCCATGTGATGTAGTCATACTTCACTTTAATTATGATGTTCTGGGTAAATGTCAGTTTTTATCATATTACATTTTTTATATGATTTTTTAATATACCCCTTTTAATCATGTTCATTTTGACCCTGAGCTACTTTAGGTTTGATTTCATTTATTTGTTTGGGTAACTGAAAATGTCAGTCTTCCTATCTTCTTGCTGGAAGGGCATTAAGTGTGATGATTTTGTTGTTGCATTTGCTGATCGTTCCTTTCAAACTGTTTTACTTTAAAGTTAATGGTTCACGTATTTGGAAATATAAGTTTGGAATTTCCTTGGCTTTGTTTCAGCTACACACAGAGTGCACACATCGCCAATATTAAGGATAAAATTCCAGAGCTATTGCACCACACGCCTTCAGTCCTGGAACACTGCAACGCAAATGCTACTGCAGGAAAGAGACTGTTCTCTACAGTGACATCAGGAGCAGTTTCTGAACATTTTGAGTGTTGCTATGTTGTGTATGGATTCTTCCTTAGGCTTTTAAACGTGACCCAGAGAAGACACAGGCACACTCTGATGTCAGGGAGTCGTTCCTTTGGGCCTGAACATTTGTAGCAGAGGCTGCCGGGATTGGACATGAGGTTTTTTTGTGTTTAGTCTCTCCGCAAAGTAATATTATTCAACTGCAGAGTGCACAGTTCAGGCATGATGCTCCTTTTAGGCTTATAACTAATTACACACTAGGAGTCACACGCTGGGAGCAAGGCATGATGAATCTGTTATTTACACAATGACACTGACACACTGGGAGTGAGGCATGATCGACCTGTTATTTACACACTGGGAGTGATACACTGGAAGTGAGGCATGATGGACCTGTTATTTACACACTGGGAGTGACACACCGGGAGTGAGGCATGATGGACCTGTTATTTACACACTAGGAGTGACACACAGGGAGTGAGGCATGATGGACCTGTTATTTACACACTAGGAGTGACACACAGGGAGTGAGGCATGATGGACCTGTTATTTACACACTAGGAGTGACACACAGGGAGTGAGGCATGATGGACCTATTATTTACACACTGGGAGTGACACACTGGAAGTGAGGCATGATGGACCTGTTATTTAAACTTTGTTGGTCTGGCTGGCTGGAGATGAAGGGGCCCACACCGACCCCACTGGAATGGGGTTCAATGTCTTATGTGTCCTTGGAGCTAACAGAACCCCCCTCCCAGGAGGTGCTGAAAGTCCCAGCCGGGAAAAGGGCGTCTGCTGTGTGCCAAGCCTCTCTGGCGCCCCCTTTGGGCTGCTCTTCCTTCTTTCCATGGCTGTTACGAGATTATTCTGACTCTGTACGTTACCTTTGTGACGACTTACAGCCTTGTGCTCTTAGAAATGCTGCAAAGCCAGCGGCTCTGAGGTACGCCTCAGACGTTCTGGTGGAGTAATTTGATTATGGGATGTCATCCCTACTATACAGATATCCCAGTGCCTTCATCTTACCCCCCTAAAACAGCAGCTTTAGCAAGGACATAAAAGAAAACATTTCGCTGCAGCAGCTTCCCAGACATTCAGCACAGATCGTATCGAAATGAAAGTTCCCAGCACCCGTTAAGTGGACACACTGGAATGAGGCATGATGGACCTGTTATTTACACACTGGGAGTGACACACTGGAATGAGGCATGATGGATATTTGCTCTGTCGGTGCAGTGCCTCCATCGCTCGATTTCGGCTCCCTAAAACGCCGTGGATGGTTTATGAATTAGAAATGCCTTTAAAAGCCCAGCACTCCGGTGATGCCTAGAGTGCCGTCTTCAGTATCCAGGCTCTCCGCTCTCGCTCGATGCCGAGTCAGGCTGCATCACTGTGTCAGACCTTGAGCGGGGGTTGGGGGGGAGGGAGGGGAGGAGCGAAGAGGGGAGGGGGATGCCCAGGGGGTGGGCATTGTGCGGCGGAGCCTCTTAGCGCCTCTCGCTGCCGGTCCAGCGGTGCTCAAGGCTTCGGCGTATCGTGACGGTGAGCCTTGCCCGCTGACGGGTCAGGAAGAGGCCGACCGGCCAGCAGGGAGACGCTGCAGCTGGAATCGCAGTCACCCTCCACCCTTAACGGAGGAGCGTGTGAGTTACACCGGCGGGTGACGATGGTGGAGGCGGGTGGAGTTTGTCACGGGAGTCAGGGCTTGGTTGTGAGTGCGCACGACTTCGCGAGCTGCACCGTGACACCGCCGCGGACCAGTGGGTCTTTAGTGAGCGACTCGGGCATGGAGCCGCTGTTCGTCTGTCTGCAGTGCACACTGCGCTATGCATTCTCTGTGTCTCACTGGCATTCTCTCAAAGTTGCCTGAAAGCTATGAAATGCTTAAAGAAAAGTTTGTTCCAGTACTTTTCCATTATGATTTGGGTTAAAACCATACTTAGGGACTCGTACACAGTTTTATGCCATTAATAAATACTTCTCTGTGATATACTTCAAGTCGGTTTCTTTTACTGATTCGCTTGAGGGAATCAGCAAACTTCTCTGTTGTTACTTGCTGATTTCGCTCGTTTATTCTCTTGTAGGGGATGCGCATGATTGTTCTGAAGTTTACCATTGATTTTTCTTCAGACGTTGGTTTTATTTCTTTCAGGGAAAAATACCTTGTTGTGGATTCAAACTCATCTCCACCTTTGTTTAAAGCAAAGTTCCCTCTAGGTCTCTCATGGGAAATGAGATGCATTCGGTGCAGAAAAAAAAAAAGCTTTTTTGTAAGCTTGCTGCATATATGGGCATGAATGGATCTTGGGGTTGAAAGCTTAGCAGTGCAGCATTGCTGATATGATATTTTCTCCAGTTATACTGACTCAGCTGGTCTCGTAAGGCAATTCGGATGCCTCTGGTGGAGGTGAATAGGGTTAGTGCTGAGGAAGTAAGGAGTTTTCAGTAATGCAGTGTTTTCGCTGATCACCGTCTTCCTGTGTGTGAGTCCTGATGGAGCGTGAGGTTGGCGGGTATCAGCCAGATGAATCCTAATGCCATGAGTCTGCTGTCCTTTCTGTTCGGTGGCTGCTGTTGGCTTTGTGTGTGCGCGCTTGTCTGTGTGTAGAGCAGTCCGCCTTCCATACCTGTTTACACGCCGATGCTCTCCCGTGTGTTTCTTGCAGAGTACAGTCGATTCGAAGCGAAAATCCATGACTTGAGGGAACAGATGATGAACAGCAGCATCAGTTCAGGGTCCGGCTCGCTGCGGACTAGCCTGAAGAGGTCAGTCTACGTCAGGTAGGTCCCCCGCAGGGAACTGTCTCTCGTTGCAGCATCAGCTCTCTTACGGTGTATATTCTATGGCAGTGTTTCCCAGTCCGGTTCTCGCGGACCCGGTCCACGTTTTTGCTCCCTCCCGCCTACCTGCCAGACAGTCTACATTTCTGGTCCTTCCCAACTCCCGGTAGACTGTCTGCGGCTCCCCGAGGACCAGACTGGGAAACACTGTTCTGTGGAGCGAGAGGTAACTACTATCAGGGAGCTCCTCGTGGCTGTGAACTCAGAACACACACGCGTATAATCCTGCACCCATCTAGCGACTGCCCTTATCAAAACACGGCAATCGTGGATTGTTGCCATATGTTAGCCTTGGGTTTGGTAAAGCCTCGTTTTAACATTCAAGCTGTTGTTTTGGATCGTCCGTAACCAAAGGCAGTGTCTTAGTCTGTTTCCCTTCTATACCATAATGCACAGCCAAGCCCAGGTGACTTGTGTTTCTCTAAAGAGACCCGCCCCCGTCCCCCCCCGTCCCCCCCTCTCTGGCTGTCCCTGTGAAATCCTGCTGATTCCCCAGCTTCCATTACCCACTGCCGCAGTAAACTGACACCACGGTTAGACAATGACTGTCTGACCTGAGAACAGTCTAACGGTGAGAGGAGACGCCCATGCGGGCCTTTTGGACCGGGTCACCCGCGCACGCCTTTCGGGCCGGACCCGGGGGGACCCATAGAGCCAAAAGAGTGAAGGGAGCACCTTCTGTGGCCAGTTGTTAACCTTAACACGTGGCGGGCAAAGCCAAGCAGAACTCCCTGCTACTCAGGAGAAAAATGGATGTGCCCTGCTGGGGATTTCTCTTGTGTAGGGCTGCCTGAAGGGGGCGCCAGTTTAACCTGACAGCTTTACAGGATGCAAATGGCAAGGGCGCAATAGCTGTTTTTATGCAGCAGTTAGGAAATCTGCCTAGCAACAGATTCCAGCAAGCAGCGCACCAAGGAAGTAGCTATCGGTCACGTGACCTTTTTTGGCCAGTTTCTGCTATATCTTTCAAATGAATATAGATTATTATACAGTCATTATAAGGGCAGTTAGCTAAGATACAGGAGACAGCGCACTCAGTAATAGCGAGCTGTTTTCCACTCCGGAGCTCACAGACGCATTGTCAGTTTTTGAAGGGTCTGTAATAGACAGACAGCTGCTGACATATTAGGGCTTCAGACGTAGCATCTCCACAGGGGATGGAAATGGGAACAGAGAATGGGGGGGTGCCCGGAGCCATGTTAACCCCCCAGAGGGTGCGATCATTCCGGCACATTCTTAGAGGAACCCAGGTGTTTCATTAAGGGCGACCGCTGAGTGCAGCCTGTCGTGCACCTCCAAATCACGCCCCCGAGGTGTTGCACTCCCCCCGAGAAGAGCAGCGAGCTGTCGGCGACCTGCCCGAAGGTGCCATAGTGACCTTTGTGCGACTGGTGACATCAGTTGTACACCTGACATGGCCCCTTTAAATTTATTGGGATGCTTTATATTTGCGTTAACTCATGTGTTTAAAGGGATGTGTGGTGAAAGGGATGTGGGAGCGATGTGTGGTGAAAGGGATGTGGGAGCGATGTGTGATAAACGGGATGTGGGAGCGACGTGTGGTAAATGGGATGTGGGAGCGACGTGTGGTGAAAGGGATGTGGGAGTGATGTGTGAAAAGGGATGTGGGAGCAACGTGTGTTAATGGGATGTGGGAGCGATGTGTGGTGAAAGGGATGTGGGAATGACGTGTGATAAATGGGATGTGGGAGCGACGTGTGGTAAATGGGATGTGGGAGCGATGTGTGGCGAAAGGGATGTGGGAGCGACGTGTGGTAAATGGGATGTGGGAGCGACGTGTGGTGAAAGGGATGTGGGAGCAATGTGTGGTGAAAGGGATGTGGGACTAATGTGTGGTGAAAGGGATGTGGGAGTGATGTGTGGCTCGGTGGATTACGGCATCGTTCCTGTGATCGCATGGTCGCTGGTTCAAATCCCTGGATGAGAATAGTGATGTCATCGTTGGACCCTTGAGTAAGATCCTTAACCCCCAATTGCTCCACCGACTATGTGACTCTACTTTCTCAACGATGTGCACTTTGGAATAAAAAAAAGGTAAAAAACCATCAAAGTAGCCAGTTAAATTCCAGGGTATAAACATATGGATTTTATAAGTTGCAAAACAATGTTGCATTTACAACAGAAACTTCAGCTCTTGGTGTCAGAGACTGTTAGTATTTAATATCACTGGCTCATAATCACTGCAAAGCCTAGCGAAAATATATTTGTCCTTTGAAATGCACTTTTTTGGGTTCTGTTAATTTCACAGATAGTCGGATTGCCCGTTTTAATCTGGTTCAAATGTGCTCCAAAAATATCTGCCACATAAATCCTGATATGAAGGTACAGTGAGCAATCCCACAAAGTGTCACCTAATGTGATTAGTCCAAGAGCTGGTGGACTTTGAAGCGATTAAAGCTAAACTGAGTCATTGAACTATTCCAGGCTTTTTAGTGATGGATACTTAGGAAATCCTGAAGTCATCAGTTTGGCTACTTATTCTCAGTGTCACGGGGGGGTCGGGGGGGCGGCTGACCCTGTCCCCAGAACCCAGGCGTCGCTCTCACCTCTGTATGTGTGTGTGTCTGAAGAAAGGACAGCAAAATGGGGCGAAAACATATTCCTATGTACCTGCTGTCATACAAATGAAAAAAAAAACCTTCATTTTTGTTTTAATTAAGGGGGTTTCAGTGCTGTCTGTCCATCTAGGTTGTTATTTTGGAAGTTATCTAGTTTTGGAGATATCAGCCCTAGACATGTCGGTCTTCTCTTGAGTATATTGGGACTGAATGGCATTATTTCTGTGGTTCATAAAGCTCTAAAACATTCATTTGAATTCAACAGCATTGTCTCTTACCAGAAATCATGACCCAGTTACTCATGATAATCCACAGACTTTGTAGTGAGGAACTGTTTTCTTCGACCAGACTCCACACACCAGTCATATCACTGTGTAGAAGATATCGCCGGACTGCTGGTGCTCGTATCTTCTGCACACAGAGCTCCTAGACAACTCCAAGCAGAACCACCACTTCTGTCCAGAATGAGGAGGATTGTGCTGGACCTTCATTTTACCTTGTGGTCCTCTCTGAGTGTCCATCTTCTGGAAGGGTGCTGGTAGAGTGCTCAAACCTAGGGGGGGGGGGACACGGTTTGACACAGCAGGTGGTGATTCTAGTAATTCTACTTTGGAAAGCCCAGAGACATATCAGTGTCGTGTACTGTGAGATGTTTTAATGTATTCAGAGTATATTCCCGTTCATTCAGTACAGTGATTTGCACCTCCACATTCAGGCAGATGATAAGAAGACAAGAGGAACTCGTATAACGTCACATGTCATGTCTCCTTCGAACTACCGCTGAGATCTTGAGACCTTAACCTTGTTGAAAATTTAGGTATTACAGCAGCATTTCAAAAGTTATCTCTATGCTGTATGAAAAACAGCGCATTTCTGGTTAAAAGTAAGAGCTGTGATCCTGTGATTGAAAGCTTGTTTTTAACTTCTGGAAGTCATTAGAGATATGTAATTGCTCAGGAAGGGAGCTGAAGCTATAGACTCTTAAGAGGTGACGGGAAGATCTCTATAATTAAAAAAAAAACAAAAGGAAATCTCTGATTAGCAGAGCACTGAAGAGACTGAGGTCGGCTAGCACTGGGGAGGAATCTCTCCAACCAGTGATGGCTGTGAGGTGGGGTTATGTACTCTAGGGGGCGTTATTTAGTCAATACACAGTAAATTATGTGGGCTTAAGTACTCATCAAATGGCGTCGATTTTAATTAATCTACAAAGAAAGCAGCATTTTTATGACCCCAGGGAATATAATCACCCCGTGGTTTATTGCCCCCCGACTCTGATGTTTATTTAAGCTTTTTTTTGTTTCTTTTCTGTAGCAGTTGACTTTTTTTGCCATCTTCCCCTCCAGCAACCCTGAATTGCATGAGCTTAGTTTTTGTAGTTTTGCTCTTTCTGTGTTATTTTTTTGTTAGTTTTTATAATAGCGATGTAGGAACCTTGCATAGAGCTCGATGGGCCGAATGGCCTCCTCTCGTTTGTATAGTTCTTATGTTCTTATGTGATGGGCCTCTTCGTTCCAGGTCTTTCCTGAAATGCAGACACAAACGTCAGCATCCTTCTTGGGGTTTGGGGAGTTAGTTCCGCTACACCACAAAGCGGGGGGAGTTGGGGCGCACAGTGTGTCATAGCTTCACCGATGTCTGTGTCTTTCTGTCTGGGTCTGCTCATGTGACCTGAGTGCATCCTTGCCTCTTAACCCGGCTGCCTCACTGACAGCACTGCCTCTTAACCCGGCTGCCTCACTGACAGCACTGCCTCTTAACCCGGCTGCCTC